GGCTTGGCCTGGAACCCGGAAGGGGCTCTGAGGGCATCAACACCTGGGGCAGGATGGGATCCTTGGCAGAACATCAGTTGTGTGACCTTGAGCCTGGTCTGGCGGGGTATTGATTTCCCATCTGAGTAATGGGAACTCTGGACAGGAGTCTCCACTCGCCTGCAGCCATGAGGGTGGAGAACCTCTTAGGATTAACCCCCGGCCCAGGTGAGCAGGAACATGCAGACTGAGCCTTTGCTCAGGTAAAGCTTGGGCTTAGCTTTGCCCGCACTCCCAGCTGTGGGCTCCATGAGGAGTTTCCTGCATTTGATGTCATGAGCTTCCCATTCCCCAACACTGCTGCTGGGGGCGTGGGGGGCGGGGAGCAGAGCTGCTTAGAGCAGTAGAACCCACCCCCCCAACCTCACTGGGGGTCCATGCACCCATTCACCTGGACTAAAAGCAGAGAGTTTGTGGTGTTCCTGCAGACCTGTGCGGGCGAGCGCCTCTTCCTGAGAGGGCCGCAAGGGTTAGAGAGCACAGAGCCAGGACAGAACTGCCAGGGCAAGGAGGGGAGTGGGACCTGGCACTGCCCAAGGTTGATGGGGCCCTTCTGGAACTGCCCGGCCTGGGTCCTGGGTGAGGCCCCGAGGAAGCGGCAGCTGTACCCCTGGTCCCGGACACAGCTTTCCTAGGAGGGCGTCGGGTCTTGCCTGTTCCTGTGCCTCTTGGCTGCTCATCGCCCTCCACTCCAGCCTGGTGAGCTCTGAGGTGGACCATGTGTGGAGGCAAGAGTGGAAGCCCTGTTGGGGAGCTGGTCACCCTACCTCGACTTCTGAGCCTCTGGCTCCTTCTCCTGCAGGGTGCTTTGCCTCCCCTCTCCTAGGGCAAGGACCCGGGGTTCTTCCTGATGCCTTGCTGGCTTCCAGGGGGTTCCGGCCTGGCCTGGTGACGTCAGCCAGCCATACATCTGACGGCTTTCCACGGGCCAGGGCCTGCGCTCGGCACTGGCTATGGCTCTGTTAGCAGTTCCCTTTTACAAACGCGAAAACTGAAGCCAGAGAGGCAAAGCCACTTGCCCAAGGTCACACAGCTGGCCCTGAACCCTGATGCTCCCATGGGAGACCGGGCTGGGCAGGCAACGGCCGAAGGACCTGCTTTCCCATGCTGGAGTTGGGGCAGGGGCCGTGGGAGAGGACAAAGGCCCTGAGACGGGCATGTGCGGCGCCCTCCTGCGACTGCCACCCCCACCTGATAGGAGCCGATAAGGGCTCGGGTAAGGGCTCTTGTGCGTCAGAGCCCAGAGCTGGTGTGCTGAGTGTGGCTCCCAGGAGGGGCGCCCTCCCAGGCAGGGTCAACAGGAGCAGGCGTATCTCCCGCCCTGGGCTGGGGGGATCCCAGCCAGCTGCCCCCACATCTGCAGTCAGGGATACTGAAGATGGGGGGCTGGCCTAAACGCATGGGGACAGATAATTCAGAGAGAGAGAAACGTGACTACAATAGGGGGTTACCCAGCCACGGGCTTCTAGGGGGATATGGTGTAGACAGGGAACTGTGGTCCCCAGGGTCACCCAACCCACAGGGCTTGGGATAGATCTAGAGAAGGAAACTGAAGTTGGGGGCACTGGGCGGAAGGAGGTTCAGAGGGGGATCCAGAGAGGAACAGGGGGGCAAAGGACGCCAGCCACACCGTCTGAAGACTCAGGAGGGGACCAGATAGGGAAATGGAGGCGTCAGTGCAGCAGACAGAGAGGAGGGGAGGAGCCAGAGTGGAAACTGAGGCATAAAGGGAGGGCTCACTCCCACAGACAGGCTCCGGTGGGTGCCTGACCCCCTTCTCTGGGAGACCTCGGTGGTTGGTGAGAAGTTGAATTGAGAAGGGGTAGTGGGGTGAGGTGGGGGCTGGGATGTGGGGGGGCACTGGGAGGGAGAGAGAGCTGAGCCCCACAGACACGGATCTTGACTGCCAGATTTGGGGGGCAGTGGGGAATGCCATTCCCTCACCAAGGAGCTTGCTGGGGAAGACGTGTCAAACACAGAAAACTAGGGAGCGTTCGGGGTGCTCAGAAGGACTGGAAGTCAGTATTCCGCAGCATCTGGTAGTCAGGACATCCTCGCAGGGGGTGACTTTCACGCGAGGTTGGAATGACAGCAGGAAGCCAGTAATAACAAGGTAAGGGACAGCGTGTCTCGGGCAGCTACAAGGCAGGGCTGGGCTGGGATTGGTGCAAGACAGAGCTGGCCTGTGCCAGGGACAGAGGAGGAAGGAGGCCTCGGGGGAGCGAGGGGGGGCATGGGAAGGGCTCTCTACATGAAGGGGCTGGAGATGCCGGCCCTTGGCGGCTGAAGGGGAAACAGCCCCTCGCCCCACTGGCTGAGTTTTGAGGTCTCGTCTCCCGCTGCAGCGGGACTTTCTGCCCGATTCACAGAGCAGAGAAACTGAGGCCCGGAGTGGTGAGCGCGCCAAGTGTGAAGCCAGGGTGCTTCTGGTCCCTTCTTCTCAGTGACTTGGGATCTGGACGGAGCTTTCTGCTTCTTGCCTCCAGGTTCTATTTCCTGATAGAACCCAAAGTGTGGCGGGTCAGGCCCAGGGACGACCCCTGCTGGTCCCCGCCGGTACCCTGGTTACATCCCCTCCCAGCTCTGGGCCTCAGTTGCTCCAATTTGTGCAGTGAAAATGGAAGGGGACCCCCACTCACGGCTGCCTTCTCAACCACCCCCTTCTGCAGGTCAGGGAGCAGTGACCCCTACTGCATAGTGAAAGTGGACGACGAGGTGGTGGCCAGGTGAGGAGTGGAGGTGGTAGGCGTGGGGGCGGTGAGCAGAGGGTGCAGCTCCTTCTAGGCCCGGGGGGCCCAGGTTGAAGGGGAGCTGGGGGGGCTGTCCTGAGGGTGGACTTGTGGGCCTGGCCCAGCACTTTGTGTCCTGGCCTGTCGGGGGAGTGGGGGGGGTGGACGACCAGGGCTGTGTTCCTCTCCCATCCGGACCCACCAACTGGCCCGCCCCCTCCCCGACCCCCGGGATGTCCCCGGCTGACTCAGCGCCGCCAGCCCACAGCGGCCTCCCGGGGACAGGCCTCTCACGCTTGGCTGGACCGGATGCGTCCAGGCCGGCTGGGTGCTGCGGGCACCGAGTGAGTGCGCCTGTGTGCACACACACGTGACTGCAGACTGGGGCTGCTTGAGAGTGCGCTTGGGGGTGTGGCGAGGCAGTGTGAGGGGCTGTGACCTGTGAGCGTGTCCTGTGGGTGTGCGGGCCCCAACTCACCCGTGTAGCAGGCGAGCGTGTGTGTGAGCGTGGGTACACACGCACACACACGCCCTGGACACGTGTGCACCCCCGTAACTGCTTGTTTGGACCCAAGGAGATCCGTGAGCGTGTTTGAGTCTCGGTGGGGGGCACCGTGGCCCAGACTGCACTGGGCTTCACCCCCACAGGCCCAGGGACAGCTCTCCGCCCCCACAGGCCGGAGGGGGCTCGTGGGCGGGCGCCTAAAGCGTGTTCCTATGGAGACAGTGCCACCGAGGATCCTCCCAGTGATGGTTCTGGTCCAGATGGGCTGGGGGCTGGGAGCTGGGCGCAGGAGCTCGCGGGGGGAGGGTCAGCCCACAGCCTTCCTGCTGGCACCCCTCCCACTTCTCTCCTGTGTCCATGCTGCCCCCATACCATGTTCTGGGGTGCTGCCCCCAGACCTGCAGGTTGATTTTCTGCAGTCTCCCCCTCTCTGGACTCAGAGAAGCCTGGCATCTCGGGGGTTGGGGCACCTGATGGGACTTCCGGTTGGGAAAAGGCTGGGGTAGGAGGTTGAGGTGTTTGGTCAGAAATCTGGGGTGCATCTGATGGTGGCGCCCTGGGCTGGCTGGAGAGGACCCACGTGTGCTTGGGTGAGTGTGTGCATGTGCACTCTCTGCTGGGGAGGAGCGTGGTGAAGGGGAAGAGGAAGAGAGTGGTTGGTGTGCGAACCAAGTTTTGCAGCCGCCTCTTGGGTGTGTGTTCTGGGGCAAAGCAGGTACTTGTTTCCTGTGGGTGACAGGCGTGCCTCTGCAGGGTGTCGGGGCAGAGGCCCTGGCCTGGTCACCTGGGCTTCCCAGAGCGCTCTGGCCCCTCTGACCTCGTGGTCTCCTCACACGCCCCTCCTCAGCCAGCACCCTGCTGCTCCTCAACCTCCCCAAGCTCATTCCGATGGACACTCGCCCTCAGCCTGTCTCCCTGCTTTGCCTAGGCTGGCCCTGCTGGGAGTCCCCCCTCCCCCCCACCCCACCCCAGGTCCCCCAGGGCCGTTGACCCCCCACGGCAGTACTTTCCCACTGGGCACATCTGCTGCTGGGGCTCGTTCTTGGATTCCCCTTGGCCCACAGGTTTGGCGCACAGTTGGGGTGACTTTATGGAGCGAGTGAAGGACTGCCTTGGAGTGCATGCATGCCTGAAGGAGCCGTGTGTTGTGAGCTACTCTGCATGTGTGTATGTGTGCACACGCACGCGCAGACCAGCTGTTTGTATGTGAGTGTGTGTCTCTGGTCTCCCTGTGTGTCACCTGTTCCAGGCATTTCTCGGTCGGCGTGGTCATGCCTGTCCTCCTGTGAGTGTCTGCACGCGGCTGTAGGTACAGACACATAGGTGGGTGTTTCCAGAAGCTTCTGAGGGTGCCTGACGCTGTCTCTGCGTCTCGGCTTTCCCCGGTGGGTCTGTGAGTGCAGTCTCAGGGGGTCTCCCTGGGGAAGGGGAGCACTGAGGCCCTTGTGTGCCCATGTCTCGGCCGTGTGGGGGTCAAGGTGCCTGTGTGCCCGCGTCTCGGCCGTGTGGGGGTCAAGGTGTCTGTGTGCCTGTGTCTGGTTCGACTGGAGTCTCTGGGCGTGGGTGTTTGGGTCTCAGATGCACCCACCTGTGTGGCTCAGCCCCTGGTGCCCCTTCTGCAGGACGGCGACTGTCTGGCGGAGCCTGAGCCCCTTCTGGGGGGAGGAGTATACAGTGCACCTGGAGCTGGACTTCCACCATCTGACCTTCTACGTGCTGGACCAGGATACAGTGGGGTGTGTGTGCGGAGGAGCCCAGCCTGGGCACCTGAGGGGAGGTGGGAAAAGTACCTGCCCAGCCAGCCCTGGGTGTGTCCCCCTGCCCCCCAACTCCACGGGCGGGACAGAGCTCCCGACTCGGACCCTCACCTGCCGCCTCACCTGCTCACCTCCCGCAGGCATGACGACGTCATTGGCAAGATCTCGCTGAGCAGAGAGGCCATCACCGCTGACCCCCGAGGTGGGCGAGGGGCGCCGGCTCCCATCTGGGCAGAGGTGGGGTGTGGCTAAGCCAGAGGCACACGGTGGCGGGGTACAGAGCCCTCAGTGGAGCATGATTCTGGTGGTGGTTTTCATTTTAACCAGCTCATCTGCTGAGCAGTTCATTCATCTGCCTCACTCCAAAGGCCCCATCGTTCGCTTCCCCAGCCCCGTCATGCTCACCCGTAGGCTGTCTGCTTCTGTGTCTGTCTAGAGACACTTCAGGTTTGAGCAAGTGAATAACAACAGCAAGGGCCGCATACCGGTGCTGCTCTGGTGACCGGCGTGTCAACTCAGTTATTCTGACAGCCCTAGGGGAAGGACTCTTGTTATGCTCACTCAGTAGGTGAGCGAACTGGGGCGGGGGCTTAACCACCTGCCCAGGATCACAACATTATTCAGGGGAGCTGCCAGGATTTGAACGGAGGTCGAGTCTCTCCAGAGCGTGTGATCTCAGCCCAGCACCTGCGAGGGCTTTTCTCTACCTGCAGGAGCAATAGCCTGTTGCAGGCGCTGCTCTGTCTACTTCACCACAGGCCTTGCAGAGCTCTCTGTCTGGTGCCCAGACCGTTTCCAGGCTCTGCGATCTTTGTAACACCTCACGGCCCCCCATGGTGTGAACGCACCACCACAACCTGGCCAGTTCCCTGTTGCTGGACACCCGCTTTGTTTGCAACTTTCTCTAGTTCAAAACAATGCTGCACTTATGCAAGGTGACTTTACACACGGGCCATTTACACCAATCTGTCTGATAAATTCCTGGAGGTGGATTTCCAAGACCAGCGGGTACCCAGATCAGCACACCTGATAGTTACTGCAGATCCGTCCTCCGTGAAGGAGGTAACAGTTTACCCACTTGGCTATCACCGCTGTTTAGTCTTGAGCGGGTAGCTGTAGGCCACTTCGTGTTTCTCTCTGAGTGACTGATCGCATATCATGAAGTGTCACTTCATACATTTTTGGGGTCTATTGTCCAGTTATATTCTATATGCACCCCCTTTTGGGGCCCTATTGATTTGTAAAAGCTCTTTACATATTAAAGAAATTACCTTTATCATATTAACTACAAATATTTTTCTCCCTTTGTCACTTATATTTTGAAGTTGCTTATCATGTTTGCACATATAAATTTGCTTAGGCTTCTGTAATTAACTTCATCTGTATGTAGTTAATTATTTTGGCTCTTGATTTTCTGTGACATCTAATGACCTTCCCAACTCTAAGGGTAAGACAATTTTTTTTCATGATTCCTTCTAGCAATTCATAGGCTTCTTTTTTTCACATTTAAGCCTTTGATATTTTTGCAATTTTTCCATATACAAGACATCGAGTAGGAATGGAACTTTATAATTTTTTTGTCTAGATGGTTACTTATTGTCTCAACACCATCTAGTAAATAATGGATTTCTTCATCAGTGGGAATTTGTTGAAAACCTACTATGTGCTAATTATTGTCATCAGTTCCATTTGGTGAGGGCTTATTGAGGGCAGGTGTGAGGTACATTCGGTCCTCACTATCCCGAATGAAGTGTGCAGTAGGCTGACATCCAATTTTCCACTGAGGGAGAGTGAGGCCGGGAGAGGTGAGGTGACTTGTCTTTATAGAAGTTGCAAAGTCAAGCCCCACTGTGCCTGCCTCCAAGGTCTGTATTCTTTATTTATTTATTTATTTATTTATGCATATAAGAGTTGGGGTGTTGGCCACAGGTGCAGGCAAGGGAGGATTCACCAGAGACAGAGTGGGGAGCAGAGCAGGCAGATGGACTGAAATACACTGCTGAGGGGAGCAGTGGGGAGACAGCAGAGGTCTGCTGCGCTATGTCGGTCACTCCCTGGCCGGGGATTGAACTCGTGCTGCAGGGGCTGTGATGGCTTGATAACGCTGTCTTTAACCCCTGCGCCACCAGGGAGGCCCCAAAGTCTGTATTCTTAACTTGTCTGAGCTGTCCCCAAAACACCTCAGACATCCCCCCCACAGGGGTGGATTAAGTGAAGTTGGAGACCTTGCTTCAGGGAGCCTATGGACTAGATGGAAAAGCAAAACATATTCACACAGAACAGAGAGCAATCAAAGAAGGAAATGGATCACGTGTCTGCTTTCTATTCTTAGTTTTTTTACTACTGCTTTCTATTTTTTTAGAGAGGGTAGAAATGTGGGGACAGAGGTGTGTGGAATGTCACTGGCATGGCAGTGTATGAGCAGGGGCAAGCGAGGGCTCATGGGGCCAAAGGAGAGGAGGATGAGCCGGTCCTAAACGTCAGGCCTCCGTGGCCTCCGTGGCCTCTGTGGCCTCTGGGGGCTCTTTCTGAGGCAGTCACAGGCGAGTGCAGGTGGAACACGGGGCAGGGGCTGATGGGAGAGGGGTGTAGATGTCAGGTCAGCATCTGGATTTTGCTCTGGAGGCACTGGGGAGCCACTGATTGTTCCTGAGCAAAGCAGTGCAGAGATCGGGGCCATCTTATTGGAGAGATTAGATGAAGTTTCAGAAGATTTGCTTTGTGGATACTGGATCACGGTAAGAAGTAGATGTGGGAAATCAAGAATCGTTGGCATAGTCAAGCGTCCTGTACTAGGGGACAGCAGTGGAGATTAGAGAGGTGACAGAAGCTCTCTTGCCAGCAGCAGGGGACTAGATACTTCGGAGTTCTTCGTCCTCGTGAGAGTAAACTCCTGAATTAGATAAATTCTTAACACATGGCTGGATTTGCTGTAGTGAAGGGAAATCCCTCAACATTCTTCCCTCCGCCCAGGAATCATGAACTCAAACTTACAGGTGAGCACCACCTTGTAGGAAATGAGGAAGGATTTCCTGAGAAGAATGTTAATATTCATTTTATAATTCACCGAGAGACTTTTTATCTTTTTTCCTTGTGACTTATCTTGGCTAGCATAACTCCTTCCAGCTCTATCATGTTACTGCAATTGGCATGAGGCTGTCTTTTTGATTGCTGAGTAATATTCCACTGTGCAAACATAGCATTCATCTATTTTGGGGCATTTGAGTTGTTTCCATATGTTGGCTATTGTAAATAGCATGACAATAAACATAGGATTTCAAAAAAGAATGAAATAGTTAAATAAATCCAAGAAGTAATCTCAAAGAGCCAGCGATAACCACACTGAGTTAAAGCTGTGTGTTAAGAAAGATAGAATTAGAAAATAACCAGCTCCAACTTTTATAGATGCAAAGTTTTCTTGTTGAAATTTAAAACTAAGTGGCTTAGTAGTCAGGCAATTTAGCAGAGCCAAAGTGAGAATTAGTGAACTGGAGGAAAGCTCTGAGGAAATTATTCAGACAAACTCATAGGGAAAAAAAGGGAAAATGTTAAAAAAAAGAAAAGGTTTAGAGGTATAAGAAAAAATTGATAAGGTCTAGCAGCCTTTTAACTGGAATCCTGGAAGGAGAGAATAGGAAAAATTGGGGAGAAACAAAATAATAAAAAGTATTGGGAAGAGGAAATGCCTTAAAAAATTTGATGACCAGGAATTTTTCAAAACTCAAGAAAGGACATGATTCCATAAATAGAAAGTCAACCTATATTAAGTGGATTTAAAAAATCCTTATGTGGACACAGTGTTGTGAAATCGCAGAAGGTCAAAGACATAGTCCTTAAAAAGAGAGAGTGGGGAGGGGAGGAAGTGAGAGGGAGTGGCCAGGTTTGAGGGCCTAGGCGGGAGAGCACTTCAGTTCTCAGGCTGCCATGGACAGCAGGTCGTGAGAGGCGCTGAGCTAGAACTGTTCTCCCTGTGTTCGAATCCTGTTTCTGCATTTACTGGGCAGAGTTCTTCCCTGGTTGTGCCTCGCTTTTCTCATCTGGAAATGGGGATAATTATTGGTACTTAATCAATAGCCTACCATGTAGAAACTTCTTGCATTTTTTTTTTTTAAGATTTATTTGTGCCTACAGAACTGGGGTTCAGGCTAGAGGCTCAGGGGCGGTGAGAGGCTTCACCAGAGACAGAGTGGGGGGCAGAACAGGCAGACTGACAAAGTACACTGCTGAGGGGAGCAGCAGGCGGGTGAGGAGAAGTCTGCCACACCATGTGGTCACCTCCGGAGCAGGCAGGAATCGAACTCATGAGGAAGTGGCTTTAGATTCTCAGTGCTGTTCTTTAACCTGCTGCGCCACCAGGGAGGGCCCAGCATTTTTTAAAATATATTT